GCCTGTTGCATTTGAAATAGAGTAACTGATGCAGCCTAATAAGTAAGAACTAGGATGCACGTTCGTTGAGTAATCGTTGGAGTTCTGCAAGTAGTGAATGTGCCAGTTGTGAGGTAAATGAGAAAAGGGAATCAACAGGAATGTCACTTCCAAGATGAAATAAGCACGATTCTGGATATTTGCGGAAGGTGCTAGACGCACCAAAAATTTAGGTTCGTAAGCTAAATTTTAATTTCTTCGACTTGTTTTTCGAGTTCTGGACGTCAATTCTGGACAATGTCAAATTTGGATGACAAATTAAACGAAGACCACAAATGTGTGTAACTTTATGTACACTAGTTTACACTAGAATGTCATTGTGGTCAGATTCAAATGGATGACATTTTTTGTTTTATTTGTTAACCACAATGGTAATAAAAACAAACACGAATAATCAAACTACTCGTGTTGGATCTGTCCAATCTTTTCCTTCATTGTAAACTAACTCACTAGCATCTTCGATGGGCCATGCTTGTTCTTTATTTATCATCAAATCTGCTCACAAAAGCGTTAATAATTACTGCTGAAGATGCATTCCCTTGTCCTTTTTATTCACTTCCTAAGCAATTGATGGAAAAGTGTTGCTTCTTAAATGTTGACCAATCATAAATTCATGGGACTTTGATTTTGAAAAGGCTGATTTTATACACATGCCAGTTTTGCCTCTTGGTCGTACTAAGCTTCTAATCTCTTGTTTATTAAATGGTATCTGAGTGTGCAAATAGGTAGTTAAATTTAGCTGAAGGCTAGACTGATTAAAAGAAGATCAAAGGCTATCGCATAGACAGGAGGATAATTGGGCAAAGATTCCATTTTACCAGAATGTCGTGGTAATTGTTTGGCTGATATGTAGTTAAACCACTTCGAATTAAATGTCACACATTTAAATTTGTTAACATAGGCGTGTTATTTATGGCATGGCTGGCTAAATATGAGCCTAAAAAGGCATTTTAGGTGAGGAATGAACGATTAATCGTAGAAGCAAATCAGCCTCTTTTAGAAAGCAAATTACTTTTTTAATGTCCTTGAAAACAACGAAAATTACAAAACAACTACGGCTACTATAGCTGCTCCAGAACCTATGCAGCTATCAATCGTAATTTGCTGTCATAAGGTTAAAGCTCTTTGTAGCAGTTTCTGTACGGTATGTATTTGTTCTGTCTTCTCTCCGAAATAACACGATTATTTTGTGTAGTGGGTTCGTCAAAGAGTCGTTGTGGGCTGCGAGAAATTTAATGCCTTCCATTTGATCTCCCACGCAGTGCGTTTATTGTCTTTGTAGCCATTACGTCGGATAAGACCGCGTTGATAGCGTCCTGTGATTCCCCAGTTGGACAACATGGAGAGGTGGTGATTATTCACCAGCAATGCGTCGATCAGCGGTGTCAGTGCATCAATGGCAATTGGTTCTGTATAGATACGTGTACACCCCTAGAGGAAATGAAATGTCCTCCAGAGGAACGCATTTTCTGGGATCCGTTTTGCTGTCCTCGATGCAAAGGTAAGCATGAGATTACTGTGTTCGAAATTGCACTTATACAAGCTTTTAAAACTGACATCTTTTATGTGGATGTAACTGTGGATTATTTTTCAAAAAATATTTGCATCACATTTCGACGGCGACTTGTTGGAATAGTGCAATTTGATCTATTTTTTTAAAAGAAACCACGGACTTTTACCTGCAGAACATTCTTTTATGCGCAGCTTGTGTTTTATTTGTGAGATTATAAGAGTTATGGAAAAAGTGTTTCCAATTCAACAATGAACCATTTTGCTAACTTTTTTTTGTGGAAACAGCAGCACTTTTAGTCCGAATTATTAACAAATTTTGAGTGACAGAAATTTGGCTCGAAGCTGTAAGCGATTTCTTATCTTATAATAAATTTCAGCTATATTTTTAAACTATCATTTCACTTTTCTTACATTGTTAATTAAAAGATATCAGCAGCTAGAAAGTCGGATGTGTGGATCCACTTCCTGTTTAACATAAAACTAAATTTTATAGGAACTAACAATGAAAGCTCTTCGTGTTTCATACAAAAACCACTAATGTATTCACGCGACTTTCAATATTATATTGCTACATACAAAAAAATTCTTCAGCATTTGAAATAATTTATGATTGCAGCGTAATCAATTAATTGATACGTTCATAGATCCGCTGGTAACCAAGGTGGATTTCACGAAAGACAACACTACAAATTCTGGTTATACTGAACATGTGAATGTCTGCGCATTTCCCATGCCTACTAAGCCGCTTTGAGGAGGTCCATAAACAGAACTGCGTACAATTTCTTATTGGTGACACTGTACTCCAGTCTGCTGCAAACCAAATACGGGGGTGAAAATAATTTCGTGTAATGTTGAAGCGCTTTATAACAATGACTCCGCCACTGAGAATAAGCAAACTGTACTATGCTAATATGTTCCTCAGTTGCTTTAATTATGCCTAAACTATTTTCAAATTTTTGCATATGCGCGTGTAGCCGAAATCAATGGAGACTAACTTGCGTAGATGCTCTAATGAAGTAGGTTCCATGTTCTTAGCATTCTGATCCACTTGACAATGAAAAGCTTCTGGCTTTTTTTAAAATATTAACATGGAGGCTCTAGGCGTGTGATTTCGTCACGATGCGGAAATTATTTTGTTAGTTTAAGAAAGCTGTCGACGAAGTTGTGTTTTGATGACAGATTTTACACGTAATTTCGTTTGATCTCACTGGCAATGAATGCATGAAAGTGATAGCTTCATCTCGTTGCAAAGTGCAGCATTTTTTCACTCCCACGATGACTGTTATAAACCTTCATGGCATTGAACTTTTTAACAAAAAAGATCATTCTAATTTATGGTTCCCAAGACATTATTTCATTGTGTCCTTAGTGCAGCTTTCGGCCCTTGCACCTCTACAACTGAGACCCAATGAAAATGTCTTATTGAAGATTTAAAATGGAACACTTTGAACAGAAATACATGAGAGCTGCTCTTTTTTTAAATATTGGCACTTTGAATGATTTCGCTCGACAAGTCTTTGTGATTCTTGAATTTTTATTCATGATTGTTGTTTTTTTGCTTAAAAACAGGCAGATATATGTCAAATATCATTTAGGGTCGTAGGTCATTTTAAGAACAACGACGAAAAGGGCTTGATATTTAAAGTTATCTGGCTTAATTAAAATTTATTTGTACAACCTTTGCAAAATTTGGACCTACAATGCCACCTACCTTTAAATCTGTAACTGCTTATGTAGCATTTGGCTGCTCTATCATTATTTCATAGGTCAAAGCACGCATATAGAACCTATTGAAATTGTCAAGCCACATTAAATTCATTTAAAGGGAACTTTAATAAGGATCGTAGATATTTTAGACAGTTTAGTTACTTGAGATAGAATTAATGTCATTTATGTTTGAGTTTATCAATTCTAACGAATAAAACATACTGTATGCTTTAAATCAGAACCAAGTCAAAGACTTCTTGGAGCTTTCATTTTACAGAACTTGGGTCTTGTGTATAATTGGGTGCCACTGAGCACAAACTTTAACTAAAAAAGTCATTTTTCTGTGAGTTAAGTTGTCTAACTTATAACTCATAATTAAAACGAGGTATGAACACAATTGGGTCACACAAAAATATCCAATTTTATTTGGCTTTAATCAAGGAGTCATCCGTCACAAATCACTAATATTAAAAATCAGAATCCACGAAAACTAATCATTAGTTATTTGCTGCAGCTATTTCATATAAAAACTATGAAAATTAACTACCAACGTTTAATATTTAAATGAATCGAATAGGTATGCATATTAATATACATATTTATTAAGACTCCTAAAACTGCCTTAATATTCATTTTAAGATTTTACGTCAGCAGTCTACTGAATTTTTACGCATCCATGCTGAAAATCGATTATCCATGCTGCTACAAATTATTCTACTCCAATTCATTAGTAGCTCAGTAAAGTGGCCAAAATGTCATAAAGTAATATTTACAAACGCTCGTTGGAACTAATGTTGGGTTTTCTAAGTTATCTTGGAGTTTTTTTTAAAAGGCCAGCTACCATTTGAAACTAATTTTTGTTAAACTTAACGATTTTAAACAGTTTCGTTTCGAAGCTCTGGTTTTGAAAATAAAGAATGAAAAGCACCTCAATCCCTGTAATCGTATGACGAAGATCAGGTAGATTGCATTTAGTTACCTACTAGATGTGTAGATACAAATTTACGATTTTTACAGTAGATAATTACTTGGCTGTTTGAGTAACAAAAACAGTTTAATTAGACCAATGATCGCCAACTTGACTTGTCTGTCTATATATGAATTTACTATGCTAGCTTTAAACATATCAAGTAGGGACCTAAGTTATTTCCGCCTACACAATTTTTATTTAAAATCACGAAACACTTAATAAAGAAAATTCTTTCCAAAAATTGTATAAGCTAGGTAATGTAACACAAAATGCAAATATGTTATACGCAGCTTATTGTTACATCATAGTTAACCATGGAATTTTTTCCTTACCCAAGATTTTAAACGATAGAACAGGCAGAGGTGATATTAAGGGTTACCTATGCCAAGGAAATCCAGAACCACTTTCTTACGTGGGAAAAATTATGGTGAATTTCTTCTGAGATTTACAGGGAATGTTGTACCTCGTTTTTCTCACGAAAAAACTATCGCTTCTGAATCTCACTTTTCGATTTGCCAGGGTGTAAACGTCATTTGACTGTGCCAAAAGAGATGACATTCAGTCAAGCAATTTCTATTTTCTTAAATTTGTGGGAAGAGGACAAGCGATGTTGAGCTCTTTGTATTTAATAAATTTCCACCTATATTTTGATTTCCCATGTAATCATAAATTCGCTTATTACCATCGGACGCGAGTGATGCCCTTGCCTGTGAGAACATGTAAAAGGTTTTATAACGTTAGACAGGGGATATTTTGATACCTTGATAGATTCTTATTAGTCCCTTGTTAGAAATTCCAAAATCCAGTTAAGGATCCCCTGCTCTCTTAACAGCATTACCAAATTATAGGGAAGAGTATGGATATCTCTAGTAGTTAGTAATTGTGAGTATCCTTTGAGGATTTGTTTCAGTAAATGTCAAAAGTTTGTATTAAACGGACTACCTTTTGACCATACAAATTCACTCCTAAAAATCAAGATTTTCACTGACCTCTAGTACGCGGAAAAGGCAGATAAAGCATTCAATAGATCGCTTAATAATATGTTTGGGGCTGCTTTAGTTGCTCTTTTGAGGTTTTTTTCGTTTCCTTTAGCTTGGTTTAAATACGTACGGAACCGTTTCGACTCCCTAAAATTTAAATTAGAAGTGCATTATTCCGTGTATTTTGTAGAAGTCTCAAAATACTTCATCTTAAACTTGCAACCTTTTGTTACGTCTTATATTTCGGCCTTTGTTATGCAGCAGATAACCTACAAATACTTTACCTGCTTAAAATACAAGCCGGCCTTCATGGAACAAGTGCGTAGGGTTTTGAAAAAACCTGCGATTACGCGTTTTTGAGTGCGCTTGTTCCAACGACTATTGTTGGCAAACCTCGGTGTTTTAACGGCGTACGGTGCAAATTCTGTTCATTTATGGGAGTGAAACACGCTACTTCTCATCACAGTGATCTTCATTTGCGTTTTGATCACTTCATTAAAATACGGTTCGCACACCACAATGCAGTTGCCCTTCGATTTGCTTAGTGCCAAATTCGGTTTACTATGTTCTTCTAAAATGCTGATTAACAGTGATTTAATTGACTCTAAATTAAAACGATGTTCGTTTTTATTGCCAGAAATCTAGGCATCTTATGAATGGGCAAGTGCGTTGCAATTTTCACTGTGGATGGACCAGTGTCCTGCCCACTAAATGAAAAGAAAAGATTGGTTGAAAAGATTAAACTCACCAGAAGCTGCTCTGTCGAATGCTTGAGCGTGAGCCTTCTATGTGCGCACTTTAAGAACCACGCGAGTACTTGGCAACATCACGTAAGCCATTTGACCACATTGACGACAAAATTGGGTCATTTCATGTGAAGCGATTTCAGTAATTTATGCAAATTGTCACCCATGGCTTTTATGCATGAGGCGATGTTTAGATGCTGCAGTATTTACGTTCATCTATTTTGATTACGTTGGCAGGATACACCAGCACATCGGACGCATTCGTCGTAAAATTTAGGAGAGTGAACAGTTGAAATGAAGATTTTTCAACTCCTGCAGAAAATATAACAATTGTAGCCATTGTGAATACCGTAAGCTTTCTCTACCGTAGCAATAGCAGGGGATCTATAAGCAGAACAATAAATCTATAAGTTAAAATGCGTGTGGAATGCCGTGTTTAGTGCTGCAACAAATATACTTTGAAATGTTGCCAACGGCACTGTAACAGGCGCCAAACCATCTGTAGAATGCATTTGCACAATCTACGTTAAATAAATCATAGTGCAACTTATTTATGACAGGGGAGGCTGTTAGTGAAGGAGCGTTATGAATAAGACAAAATTGCTATCAGTCAATTGCAAAAAATGCGCAAGCATCCTGTAGGGGTGAGCAAATCTTAAATGAAAATTTGAAAGCTTCGAGAGAAAACTTATGGGATTTCTGTTTCAATTCTTCATTCGATTTAAACGGGAAACATAAATTCCAAATTATCTCTCCAATTAAGGTACTCTGAAAATCATCTAAGATGATTTCCACTGATATTTATTAGAAAACGAGCTACATTTATGTTTACGCCAATGTAAAGCGCCAAGCAGGGATTAGTGGGATTATAAATGGAACTAAATTGACAGACGAATTTCCTTATGTGCTTAGTGATGCGATAATGAAATACTTGCAATCATGTCCACTCTTGCCAATATTTTTCGTTCAGACGTTAGTAACAGGATTTGGCTTATGTGGGATTCATTAAGTAATGCATAAACGTTAGTACTGTTCAAACCTTTGCTTTGATTGTGCTTGACGTCTTTGCATTCATTGATTGTTCTACACTACACAAAATTTAATGCATAATCCCAGATAGTAACCTAATATACAAAGACCACTTCGTTGTGTTATGTTCACATACATAACCAAGTCATGAGTTGTAGGGATCGGCAGCTCCAGTTGCCTAACGCAACATGGGCCTTCTTAAATCTTGGGAAAAAGTAAAAAAAATAAAAGTTGATCTTAGTGAATCATTGCTTTTGTCATTAATCATTTTTCGCCTTGAAAACGTGTTTAATGAGAATGGTCATAGTTATAAATAAAAAGGATTTTCCATACAGCCACTCAGTGCTTCGGCCCAGGGTTGCGAGCAAATGAATTTTGAGCCAATATTTTGCTTACAAGCGAATATGTGATCGGACTTTCGTGATATCCAGTGTTGCTTTTTAGACATGTGTAAAAGAAAAACTTCAGTGGATCTGCAACTTCTAGCCGCATGAAAAGAAGGCCACGCAGCTTTGCTTTGTTTATTTTCTCTTTTTATGCTAACTTTAACTCAGCTCCTAAAATTACGTTACCCTGGTGAAAAAAAGTAGACCTAAGGTCTAGTGGAATACCCATGGCTAGGTTCCAGAATTATGCCGAACAAAGTAGTACCCAGGTATTTTGGCAAATCAGCAATGTTGGCGGTAAATCATGGAACATTTTAATAGTTCTGCCAAATAAATTAAGCTTTTCATCCTCCACCAACAAAGCTGAAGTTAGGGAATTAGTTAAATATGGTCAGATATATAAAGGTTATTTGTGTTTTGACTCCTGAGCCCTTCAAGAAACAACTGACGACAGCACATTTACGTGAACTCATTATATCTCGTATTGTTATTCCAATTTAGTCAGATTTTGTAGAAATTGGTAACCATAATTTTAGTCATAAATTGATGCGTTTTACTTTAAAGTACGATGCAAATTTTCCAAGTTTCGACCAAAAGGCCTTAACACTTATAATTCGTTCTTGGTTTCAGTAGACAAATTGCTCAAAGTTAGGCTTTAGGCACTTCCGGTTTTGTTTATCGGAGATAAAATCTTTTAAGTTGAGGTCTAATATTGAATTTTTCGCTACATATAATGTTCGTTTACAGGCTTTAACACGAAAGCATAAACTACGAACTCTTTTTTTCAAAATCTTAAATAAAAATAGCTAAAAAAATTCGAGTGTATCCACTTGCACAGTAAAAAACAACCATTTTTATTGTCAGTTAAATTCATACATTTAATTCCACAAACTAATTTTTTGGTCTAAACATATACGAAACCGTAAACCTGTTGGCGCCAAAGGTAGGTTTGAGGCCTTTTGCACATCATTTACCTCCTTCAATGTGTTAGAGACCGGTCTGTTACTTGTAACTGATGTCCACGTTATGCTGTTGTTTTGGAAGCTATTTCATTTTAAGGAAGTTTTCTGTACTGTAATCGCGACTTAATAAATTGATTTAACAGATGGCAAGGAAAATGTTCCTTTTAGTACTTCCGACGTATTAGTAGAGCGAATTAAAATAATGCTTTCAAGCGAAAGTGTCTTGTACTATCGTTGGCTATTTTGATTAGCACTGTCGTTACTTCTTAAATGCAAAGTAAGTGTAATATGTCGAATAATACTTTGTTTTCTATACATTATTACGATAAAAGGAGATATGACATGAATAATGATTCACTCTGGGCTCAATGTGTAGATTACCCAAGGACTGGTAACTCACGAATAGTTACATAGTTGCTTAGACATAATCCCTTTTTGCCCTGGTTGGTCAAACCTTCAGCAAGACAAGCCTTTTTCCGCATCTTCCCATACAAATCGAACTCTTCCTGTAGGCGAGAAGTCATGCACCGTTACAGTGGCAACCGTCAATTGGTTGGACAAAGTGCCAAATCGAAAGGGGCTGCCGCGCTTCGTGAGCATTTTCACACCTGAAGGGGAAGAAGAAATTCTAAGTGAAGCCCATCAGCCCCAGATTTTACGACCTTCCATGTACGAGGACGATGAAGCCAACAGGAATGAGGAAAAGACGTCCATTATTACGGTGAGCCCAGCACAGCACCTCGTTACACACGCCGGTCGGTGTGTGTGTACGGATGGGGAGCTTAGGTGCTTTCGACCAGGTAATTTCATTCAAATTTGAAATCCTTAATGAAGAAAACTTCTACATATACGGCCTCGTTCGATAGTAAAGTCTACGGTAGTGTCCCCAAAGTCACAAACATGTTGCGTAGAGTCTATTGTGATTTGAAACTTGGCAAACCACCTGCGAATTTGTAGTGAACTTAGTGACCGAAGACATGTAATGCGGACAGGCTCGTGTGGGGGCGAAAATGTTTATTTCACCGTGGTAAATAGGTTGAGAATTTTGATTCGCTACATTTGGCACCTCTTATTAGTTTTATGGTGCATTCTTCGAAAAATAAAACCACTGTACATCAAAGGTGTGTATGGTAAACATGCAAATTTACTCACGATCTCATTTAGACAGCTCATAACATTTATTTCGGCTATAATTTGGTTGTTTTTCCCCGCTCAGTTAGGCCTGGCTGTGTAAATCAGTCGCTTTTACCTCAGGTAAACAAATATCATTCTTCCTCAATTAGTTAACCCTGTTTAATTCACGAATTAGACTAATCATTAGCACTTGGCAAACTTGTATGACTTCCTTAAATGGCGGCTGCCATTTGACATGCTGCCTTAAAAAGTCACATGTCCTCAACAGTTAATCTGATAAATGAAACAGACTTAGGTTTTCTCAACCAATTTCGATCATGAGATAAATTCACAGCAGAATTTTTAAAATTTTCTTAATACTAAAAAAATTGGAAATTTAAGCATAAGTTTTGACTTAACAAGGTACACCTCCGCCTTCAGTCGCCAGTCTACCAATTAGATTTTTTTACTTTTTAACGTATTTACCATAGAAATGAATTAAACCTAGTTTTCCTTGTTCCTCGATAACATATGCCTCAATTTCGTGTCCTATACTTTATGCACATTCTTGAATTTGCTGAGCCTTTTAAAATTCGTGTTCTACTCAACGGGGTTTAATCCTTACATGCCGTTGATTTTCCTAACTTTAACAACAGCAGACTTACACCCAGCTCACTATTCTTTTTTGCTGTCAGTCTAAATTTTTACCGTGATGCTTTTAAAAGTGAGATTTGTTGCACAGCACTTTTCAAAATATCTGCACTTTTTTGACTCGTGCATTCGTGCACTAAAAAAATCTGCCAAAGCATTTTACACTACAGGCGTTTGTAAAATCGCAGTTCAGTTTAAGTTGAAAACTGGAACAAATCACTGTTATTTTCTCGATTTCTTAGTCCAAGCGTAGGTCATTCAACTTTTTTCGATGGCAATAAAACGCTTTGTACACACGGTTAACAAATGTACACAGTCAAGTACGTGGATTTAGTTAAAACTGGCATCCTAGATGTCAGTTGACTTAAACACTTATAATTAAGCTTTTAAGCCAGCAAGAACGTATCCATTTTAGTGTACTTTTCTACTACCTAGTCGAGGAGAACGCATTATAAACTTGTGAAACGTGTGCTGCATTCGATGCTGATGTCAGAGGTCACAAGGTGTGTGGAAGTGCTTTCACAGGTCCGAGGAACGGAGTTGTGAAACGAATGCTGTGCCAAACGCTACACGTCCTGCGACGTCAGAGGTGAACACTGTCATGATTGTGGCTGAAACCTATCGTGATCAGATGACACGTGGATTTGGTGTAAAAATAAGCTCATTTGACTATGTTGTGGCCAAGTTGAAGCATGTGGATTTCGTGGACATAGTTGTGGTTACCTGTTGCATTTGAAATAGAGTAACTGATGCAGCCTAATTAGTAAGAACTAGGATGCACGTTCGTTGAGTAATCGTTGGAGTTCTGCAAGTAGTGAATGTGCCAGTTGTGAGGTAAATGAGAAAAGGGAATCAACAGGAATGTCACTTCCAAGATGAAATAAGCACGATTCTGGATATTTGCGGAAGGTGCTAGAGTCCTAGAAAACATACTTTGTCGAAAAAATAGGCGCGCAATCTTTGTCTGTTGTGTTCCAGGATTTCGGCTATGTAATTTACATGGGTTAAAATACTATCTTGCCATTTAGTCCAGTGCCTATATTCTCATCACAGTCAAATGTTTGTGTGTGACTAATAAATGAAATCCCGTGTCAAAGGAGTTTCTGCCTGTATGTCAAACGGCATTCTGCAGGAACTGTAAAACGCCCAAATCAAATAGCATCTGGGTTTTTTAGAGGGGATTTTACTGGCACCCTGTTGGCTCAACAAAAGCCGACATTATAGAGGACTATAACAAAGCTTCAAAACTGTAAAAAGTTGCAATAAGCTAAACAAACCACCATGCAAATGATCCCGTGGACGCTAGGAAGTCATTTTTGGGTAAACATTTGAGCTATCAAGCCGAGAATATGCAGTTAATGATCAAAATGACAGGAAATGCTGCTCTTCTGAGCCTCTGTAGTAATGCCTCTTTCAACGCAGTGCCTGAGCATTAAATAGGTAAAAAAACTAAAAAAATGATACTTTTTCATTGTATTTTGTCACTGAGGTCACACAAATCTTTTTTTACGTGTTCCTGAATAGCAGCCGAATGATTTTATAGTCGCATGTAAATTATATGTATTCGCATGACTGAAAATTTTAGATTACTCTTGTCCCTTCTCATGACAAGTAATTTTTGAATAAGCGAATTCTAATAAAAATGGCTATATGTGATGGGAAAATTTGCATCTTGATGTCCACTATCTATCTTCTGGCGTGAAGGCGGATTAAAATTCCATGGGAAACCGCTACTTCAAAACAAAATGGATGTAAAAGTAGTGCCAAAAACTTCAGGTATCAAGATTAAAATCAAGAATCGGTTTTTTGATAAAATACGCAATGAAAGCAGAAATGTTTTTTGTTTAAGTCAATGGTTCCATGAGCAGTAATCAATCGCTTTTGTGTTTCAAACAGCCAAGCATACTTGATTGAGGCAAAAATGTGTCGTTTAAGTGTACCGTGTCACGACTGTTAGGACACTGAAATTGACAACTTAACACAAAGTTTGAGGAAATGAATCGAACCGATTTTATCAGTTTAAGCAACATTACATACAAATCCTAGACCGCATTACCACTCACAAAGTAAAGTGGGGCTTTGGATTAGTTGTAGGCTTGCGTAATCAAATCAAATCGAAGTTACTTCTCAAGTCTAATCAAATACATTTTTTCGTTTGTCTGTCTTGTACATTTTGAGGATACTGTGTTTGCATGTGCGCTGATGTATGCGTGCTGCTGGTGTTGAGTTTTGATGACCAAGTTCTCCTTCCTTGAGTGAGCAAAATAGGCTCAATTAGGTTGGATTAAGCCCTGAACGTCTTTGAAATTCCAGTCCTTCTGGGTTTTAATGATTTTAAATAGGATCAAACATGTCAAACCCATTTTCACGGAAAAACATCATGATTCAACTTGGAAAACATTCTCCCAAAACAAATAAGCACACAAAGGAATTCTTGAAATCCGCTGATCTTTGCCTCGTTAGTTTGTTTCACAGTGGACACCTGACGCTAAACATCAACGAAATTCGATCTTGAGCTACATTCGAGAAAAGTATTTGTCTGCCATATTAGCATTACATTTAATGCCCAAATCAATTAATTTTTCATTTGAGATGGCTGTAATCCCAAAATTAGTGCAATTACGACAAACCATGTGCGTTCCAGAACGCAACCCGCATCTTGCAACATAAAACAATGTCCGGTGGTTTAAAAACCATCTTTGGGATTGTACATTTATTTTCTGAATGTTGCAGATTATTACCTGGTCCAAGGCTTCACTTCTGCTTGGACTTTCAGAATTAGTGAATGCAGCACGAAAAACTATCTCATTGGAAATTCAAATCGATTTATTCAGACGTGGAATAGGTGATTGTGGTTTTATCAACTTGATTCATCAAACGGACAGAAACAATTAAATCACCTTATTTCGTTGGAATATAATCACTGAACCCTAAAAAATCTTGGATCTGTTACTATAACTTGACCTTTAAATGCACATTTCTGGCATTAAGGATGCCATTACCAAATGGTTGTCAAGATGGACCGAAGCACTGATGAAGAATGTCGTTTTAATTGACAGAGCTTTTATTTTTTCAAGACTGTGTAAGGTGATTTCGTTGGCAGGCTATCTCACAGGTAGAATATGACAATCCGAAATCACGCACCGTTAAGCTATCCAGCAAGTTTGAAACTCCTGTTGTCCGTGGTTAAACGTAAAATGTTACTGGCACCCTAAGTGGTCATACGTGGCCCTGGAGATTATTCACGAATTTGTTTTACATTTTTACCGCTACAACATCCTGCATTTTTGCAATTCATACCATTATCCAAGAGGCGGAATTTCGCATACGAATGCTGAATATAATCCAACAAACACGAATTCTTGACCAAATATTTCGAGTTTATTCACTCATTCATCATTGTTCCCTCCTATTTATGCTCATTATTTTAAATTTAGTGTACGGTTCCCCTGATTTAGCACATATTTACACAACTGTCAGATGGTCAATGAAGCTATCCACGCGGCGCATGAGAGTAGATTATTTCATTTGTTACAGAAGTGGCAACCTACGATGTTATGGAATGTAATTTAAGGCATGAATATTTATAAATTGCTCAATCAAATCCACAATATAATTCCTTTTTACCTAGTATCATGCATTTTTTTGAAGGACATATTTTGCCTACCAATCATTCTTTAATTAAGGCGGGTAATTTTGTATCAGGATTTTAACAGAATATTATAGCGATTTGATTTGAAGACTTCAGGTTTCGCGTTACGACTAGCCTAACTTAACTGCAAGTTTTAAACAGATGACCTCATTGACCAAGCTTCTTTTATTCACTTTCAAGACATCGAGTGACCTCCGAACCTAAATTCCTAGCAATGACCGAAAAACCAATGTCAGTGACACAATAGCGCTGCTCGGGACGTATGAGATCAACGCAAAACACTAACACGTCACGTTAGTTTAATGAAGAAAGGCTTTAAACAGAGGTCTCACAAAATACTGTATACTTAGTTCACTCGCAGTAGGGTATATGTGTAAAATACATAAATGGAGTCGAATTTATTAATTAATTTTCTCACAATATAGGCTAGTGGCACGAGGCAGAGCAAAGCGGCCATGAATTTGCATTTTTTCGGGGTAAATAATTCACTGAGTCAGTGTTTCATTGGACTCGCGATTAATACTGCAGAACACACTTTTTCGTTCATATTCCAGCATTCAAAGAGCAGGTTGGGGTAACGATGACCACTATGTCTACAGAGATGAAGGTTTAATCGACATCGCTCAGCAGTATTACCCGTTTTCTGTGGTTGCGTGTCTCACATACCTTTTGTTTAGCCTATTTGGTGTTTGGGTTTAATCAGGCTTTATTTACCTAGATATGTCACAAGGAATACCAAATGCCAGCGGTAAATGGCAATTACTCGGTCATTTTTAAGCAGCTACTTTTTTTCAGAAAAGCTATTTTAAAAAAAACACGATGAACAAATGAATGAATAATGTTTCCCACCCATGATTTAAGACTGAAGTGATGGAACAAAGAAATCACTAGCCAAGTGATGATTTTTTAAAAAAAGAGGTGACTCGGCTTGAGCTGCTTGAAGTCGTTTGCAGTGTGCTTTCGACAAATTCTTGGTGATACGCCGCGGAAAGGCATCCTGTCCTACTCTCACCGGCATCCTAATTAGCGTAATTAAACCGTGAACGGACCTGATTGATGCATTGCAGCATCCTGTAATAGGCACCAAGGCTAGTTTGCCTAAAGAAAGTAAACAGTTTGAAATACCTCGACACGACTAATTGTTGTGCACCGTGTAATCATATTAGCAGAAGCATTTCTTTGAAAATGAATAAACGCTAGGTGTTTTGTTGTGTTGCTTTAGGCCCGGGAATTTGGCACGACACTGACTGCTATTACTCCCATGGTCAGCATGGTCGGTATTACGCAAAGGGTGAACACTGGAAGTCCTACAACGACGAGTGCTCTGATTGCTACTGCTTGGAGGGACGAAAATACACGTGCTCGAGGACCCCCTGCAGCTCGCTCTTCCTCTGTCCCAGCGGAAAAGTTCCCGTGTTCGCTCCAGGCGACTGCTGTCCTTCAACTTGTGAGGACAAAAAACAGGGTAGGTGAAATTAGAGCATTGGACAAAAGGCATGTTTAAACTAAAAATATATTTTCACTAGACTACCCTAAACATCCTCTGATTACGGGTAAATCCAGTAAGCATGATACAATTTCGGTAAGCAAATTTTGTAAAGTACGCTCCCGTGTGCATTGCCTCGACGATTAATTAGCTTGCTAAAATCAGACTCAGTGAATAGATTATAAGTGAGCTGTGCATTGGGCTTCGTAGCCAAGAGTTTTTCACTTTGAGATTTGGTTTATGTAAAAATGGCAGAGTGTAGATGACGCCGGGTTGACTCGGGCTCTTGCCATACTCTTTGATTTCTGTAGACTGTTATTCCTTTAAAAAATGCAACTCTAACTAACGTGTTTTGAGTGCTTGGCCAAAGAATCTTTTGAGGCTATAACATTGGGGCTGTTTTTCTGGGTTGAGTTTCAATTTTAAGGCCATTAATTACCATGTTCAGGGGAGTTATCCAAAAGATGATTAGAGGGGAGATAATGGCGGTTTTTTGATTCGCACTTTTAAAACAAACGCTCAGCAAAACAAAATAGTTTTGCGCATTTCGTTCAGACCTTAGTGGACGAAATTTGATCAGCAAAACGTCAAACCAAGTGCAAAACATTTCTGTTTACCTTTGAGGTGTTTTCTTGTTTTACTGCAAAAATGGTTTAGGCGTATTAGGAAGTGTACCATCAGTTTTCAATTAAAACATTTTCTCTCATTAAGGAAAACGAAATACAAAATAAATTAACAAAAAATTATCTTTTTGTGCACGCATTAGTCCTTCATCTTCACTTGACTCATTTGTGCATTAGTCGCAAAATCTGGCACCTTCTCGACCACCGTGGTTCGGGTGAATTGCGCATGACGATGCGCGAATCCCAGCCGGTCAATAATCCGGTCCACACGGCGAAGCTTCCTGTCATAAATGAAACAACGTCCTAATGGTGTGAAAAATTGCCACGAAGGCGACGACGGCCCTGAAGGAAACTGAATCCCATTCAATATTGATCTCGCTTGAAAAACGGCAACAAATAAGTGCGGATAGGCTTAAATATGGCCTTTACAGATGTTGTGTCCATCTGATAGCTGCAATTTTTTTCGAAAACTTAACAATTACAAAGCACAACCGAACGGCGTACATTTTAGCTAATGCGTTTGTATCGGAATTGAAACGTGAGTTTACAGCTTGATTAAGGAAAATTTCACGCTATCGCTTGCGAGTGAACCTGTTAAGATCGTTGAATTGATTAACGTGAATCGCTGACTAAATGAAAAGCCTTCCTTAGAGGCAGTACATGAGGATGCACTGACCTTTTTATTACAAAGGACTTGATGTTGCCGATGCAAACCGATTCCGTGTCCTAGGAACTGCCAACCTGGTAGCATTCCTTCAGTATCATGTGCATTCTGTGGCCTCGCAATACTTCTCCACTACAATATGGCAACTGCTCCCAGTAGGTCAGAATGTAATGATAACTGTTGCATAAAAGTTTTAAGTTCACAGTTGAAGTAAACAGACTAAATTGCTGCTCTACGAGAAGTGGCTGATTTGAGTAGAATAAGCGATTGGCGACAAATCAATGCCCGCTTTTATTACGTTCTTAATTGTAAATATTTGTAACATTTTAAACCCCATTATATTTCGGATGTCACATTGAATAATTTTTAAAAATATTTGTTAAAACTGGATTTTTTGAATCTAAGTAAAAATTCGTTTGAGTTTATGTCCCATTTGCAGCAACCCGATGCTAGTCTCAGAAAGGATTATGATACTCTTCCAAAGATAGCAGTACACAGCCCCACAGGGAAGAAATTCATATTTGTTTTGGGGTTACTTATTGTGTTACTTATTTCCAAATTTTTGGATTTAATGATGGCAAATATTTCAATTAAAGCTGCATCACAGCCTTTGTCTAATGAGCAAATTGTAGAAACCCAAAAGTGAAAAAGAATATTAGTTTTGTTGTGGACACAACCGTTTACTTCAGAGCTCAAGCACGTTGGTGTCGTTGTGTCGTGTATGGGGTTTGCGCGTGTGTATTTATACCTCGGATGTGTGAGTCATACATGAGCTAACATCGAGGCCCATGTGTGAGGATAATCCAAGATAAATATTCGTGCTAATGAAGGGGGAGTTGAGGATCCGCGCGGCTGGCTACATGCTGCGACAAGGGGAACTCTGTGTAGGAGGTGGAGCGACCGGATTAGGGGTTAAATAAACAGGATTCACGACAATCTTAATGATCTCGGTTCAACAGAATCGCTCTTAAAGTTTCAAGAGGTGTGATTTCAGTTTTATTTGCTACTTCAAATAAGCAAGTTCTTGTCAAGATCTCCAAAAGGAACCCTGTGTAGGAGGTGGAGCGACCGGATTAAGGGATGTGAATAAACATGATTCACAACAGTTTCTAGAAATAGTGGAGGAATTCGTTCAAAAACCAGTAACAGTGACAAACCTTAGAACCAGCCCTACACGGACCAGATAAATCAGTTGTAGGTTACAAAGAAACTCTAAGCAATATCATAAGATCGGGAGCCTTCAGAAGGCTCGCAAGCGCATAACGTGTACTGCACTTTCGTACGCTGGCTTGACATTTGCACAGTCAAAAAGTACACGGTTGAGAGAACAGATAAGAAGAGAAGCTTCTGTTGTATCCAGGGTCCGATTTTCGGGAGTTCTTTCAAGCAACTGTGGCCAAACGCTTAATAAATAAATGGAAGTCATCTCATTATCTTTGCGAGCATGCATGAGGTCCCGAAATTGTAATGCGCAATCGACCTTAAGGCAATTCAAGTCCAGTGGACAGTCCGAACACCGGTTAAATGCAAAAGTGAAGGATTCGATAAACAGCACGATAAACAGATGGTGAGTGGAAGATAACAGAACCCCAAGTGATTGTCTGCGTTGGAACTTCCAAGTTCCTGTAAATGGCTCATTTGTTCTCTACAAAGTAGGCTATATCCGCCATATTGGATTAGGTGAGCTTGTGAACAAGAATATTGTACATTGCAATTTTTCATTTACATAAGTGATACTCTTTTGGAATGTTTAATTTATCTCATAATGCTTATTTGTCTCAGTGGCTGATGAAGAGAACTCATACCAACTGCCAGATCAGGCATTTATAAGACGGGTTCCAGAGAGCGCACAGAACTCGTCGGACTCGCCAGTCGCCATCTCCAGCGGTGGCAAGTGCAGGCCACTCGGCGCCTTGGTGTCCAGCCATAACGCCACCTCGAACGTCATGCTGCCGTCAAACAGCCTGGTGATTATCCGCCGGACCTGCGTGAGCCTTAAGTGTGTCTGCTCCTCTGAAGGGAACTGGGTGTGTGGGGATTATTGCATCCCCTGTCACGGCCTTCCTACTCTAGACGGTGCTGCGACGAGCCTTATTGATCCTGTGAATCTACGCACCTCTGACGGATGCTGCCCAAAATGTAGGTCCCCAGAGTTAATTATTAAAAGGCTATATTAATTGCATGTACTAAATATAGTTAAGTAGCAAATTTATCACAATTATATGCAAATCATCAGACGCAGCGGTGTAGGAACATGGGAGTAGAACGGATAATTTATTAAGTCCGATTGGGGATTATTAATTTTTTACACTTATGTCTAAGGTTCTGCAACCGCAGATAGGGAGGAGACGCTGAATTTCGGTGATCGATATTCTGTCGCCATCACATGCTTCCTTGCCCTTCTGGTGTTGACACCACTTTTCGTGATAACTTCCTGCTGCATCTGTCTGCGATATCGTCGGAAATTGAAAAAGCTCCGCGCCACGGAGCCCAAGCAGGCCAAATTCCTTCTTGAGAGCGGACTCCCCACACACTCTGCACAATCCAGCTTGGCTGTGCCACTGACAATCTCCACCAACGCCGAAGGCCCATCCACCCAGACATCACTAGACAAGGAGCCAGTCGTTTTGAGCCGGCGCGACAGCATGCACCACCCCCTCTTACCCACCGCAAAGATCACAGACACCCCACTGTCCCAGATCAAGTTCTGGCAACTCAGTGCATCCCACACCTGTCTGACAGAAGTGCACAACGCCCCAGCCTCCGCCAGTAGTGAGCAAAACCGAAGCCGCATCTTTGAGGACAGCACCCCGCCAAATTCCCCCCTGACCAGCAGCGACCACATACTCAAAACCGACCATGACTCAGACGTGTCCCTAACCCGTCAGGCTGGAGATGCAACTACTTGCACGAGCAGTCCGGTGTCCAGCTCATCGCCGCAACTGGGAAAAGCCGGATCGACGACGTCTGTTGGGGCGCAAGACACTCTAACCTGGAGACCTCGTCTAAGAAGAAGCTCTACCCAACCGAGGACACACTTCTTTCCACATGCATGGAAGGCAATGATTTCTAAGTCGGCTGCAACGACACCCATGAGAGATCACGAGACAACGCCCTTCTTTGACACAAGAAACACCAGTCCGCCTAACCTCCCGATACCAGAGGACCTCTACGAATTAGAGGAGCAATGTCAGTCGCCACCGACCCCTAACAGCCATGATGACCATGCCCAAAACTCAATGGCAATCGATCTCGCTGCTATATCCGAAGTTGTGTAGATAATAGACAGCACGATTACGCCAGGCAGTCGATTAAAACGCCATCAGCTCCATTTTCTAACATGACACACTACATATTTACCTTATTTTTGTTTCCTCCCAATCCAAACCAATCACGGCTGCGCGCCCGATCACACACAGCTGACATAAACACGACTATCAACCGCATCATAACCAGACACGCACACACACAAATACACTATGAATCCAATGCGGTGACAAGCCGCATAAGGCATCCACAGAATAAAATCCCTTTTTATTTCGGTACTTATCAAAACTCGTGTGACTGCCAGTACGGAAACAGTGAACAACATTAAGCGTATTATTTGCGCAGGAGGGTAATATGATACAAGTAACCTGAGGGAGGATTTAAACCAAGTAAAGTAGTGACAACGAAGGCGGAGGGTCACATTAGTTGACGGAGCGAATGGTTTCGTTGTAGACCTCGATTCGATTGAGCCAGAGCTGGAAGTAGTGCTCCAAGTGTTCCTCACCGAGGATCAACACGTCGGCAGGGTAGCCATCTGCGTAGGCGTAAGCTATTAGGCCTTGCCGAACCTACGTGGCGAGAACGAATAGATGGTTGAGGGTCTCACAAGGAGGATAATATGCTAATCAACAGTCGCACATTCTGCGGCTCAACACAATATTCCAAGATTATCATCCCCTAATGGGTGATTTTCACAATTGCCTGAGCCTGAAAAAGGCTTTTCAAAGAATTCGCACCAAATACCGATAATATCGAAATGCGACTAAGTAAATTGGGTAAGCTTGAAGCGCAGACGGTACTCAGTTTGCTTCAGTTGGTTGATAGAGTTGACGTGGTGGTAGACGAAATGGCGCTACGAAATGTGAAAAGAGAGGTCACCCACCGTAGTATTAAGCTTCGATCACTCTAGAATGCTCTGACATCTTTCGGAATCCAAGTCGACTGTTGCATGAATCTTGGTATTCATCATGGTAAACATTCCCTACCCCTACGCCATGCAAACATGTCCGATTACTTAAAATAAAACCGGTATCACAACGAATTATTTTGTTTATTCCTCTACATCGCCACCCCAATAAGTCATTTGTCGAACAACGCTTACAAGAAGAAACCATTATTTCTACATTTACCTTTTCCCATTTATATTTTCCCGCGTTAAGTTTCTGACGAATTGCTATAAACTTACACAGAATATGGCTTTCACCTGTACATGTGGTAGAGGGAGGTACGAAATACTGACGTGCATAAACAGCAAAAAGGTTGTGACTTCTTAGTATTGCAAAAGGTATCATTAATCTACAGTATTAGAGTATGAAAATGTAACCTGTTTAATCAGCCTAGTATACTTTGTTAGCCGAACATCGTTTGTCGTAAATTGCTCCCCTAATGATGCGTGAAGATACAGCTATGGGACCTACTTTTATAGAAATGACGTCATTGTAGCAGTGTTTGGCATTTGAGTGAGAAACAAGTCGAAAGCAAAATAGCCCAAATTAGGAGGATTGCGCATAAAATAGCCCTACACATCAAGTTATTTAAGCAGCGAATTTATAGAAGTTTCAACTACACATGGCCTTCTTGAATTGCATTCAATCACCTGCTACCTACCAACTCGGTTTTCACATTACAATTGCTGACGTTTCTGAAAGAAATGGGGTCAATTGATTGTTGAGACGCAAACCGTGGGCGGCAGTGCGGAAGATCCTGGCACGAAGTCATCCACTTTTGTGAACATACAGCCAGGACTTACGGTATGTTAAACCACAAAAACAAACAAGACTATCATGTGGATGGCGCTCAAACCGCCACCGAGGAGTTTGAGCATCTAGCCACAGAGGGGAATGTACCTCAGGCATTTCTGGGACGCGAGAGACGTTGTAGGCAGCAGTGTAGGCAGCAACCTGGAGAGGGGCGTCGTAGGCTTTTTCCAGGCTGGTGACGCGTTTACCCTCGTGTACTGTCTTCCACTCCGTCAAGACGAGGGAGCCGTTCTGGGTTCTAAAAGTTAAACAGTCGACGACGGATATCAACTCACACAATCCGAGAATCGGCAGGGTAAAAGCCCGATGTAATGCAATGTATGTTCAGAGTCCACAAACAGGCTTTTGGATTGTCGGTGTGCAGTGCCGAAGCCGAAAACCGAAGTTCTTAGCACCAAGCTTCGAACGTAACGTCTTAAAACTTGATAGTTACGATCAAACAGGGAGGAAGGGTTAAAAGGTTCCTCGCAATACAAAGAACTTTGCACACGACGCCCCAAAAACCAGTAAAAGGCATTCATTCTCCTACACACCGCAGTACACGCTGTTCAGTTATTTGATACACGAGTTCTATGTAACAAACTTTTTGACTTCTAGCTCATGAACGAAAGCAGCACTTGAGTGCTCAACTCCAATACCGCACCACTGCAAAAGGCACGATATGTTAATGGAGAAAGATCCCCTGTGACAAAATATTTTCCAAAACATTGTAAAATGATGGCTCTTTCTTATGCATTTTATTAATTTGGAGACCCTTTCCTCTGCAGAAGCTGGCAAATAATTAGTTCCATAATTTGTAATGCACTAGCCCATTCCCAAAAGTAGTAATGGGAACTACTTATTTCGGTGAATTGAACAGAATAGTTATGATGAGCGGATTTCTAGCATTATTTGAGCTGTTACGTATTCAAGGCCTAATACCTGAGGTAAAAATTGAGTTACGAACTATGCTACATGTTACACGGGTCAAGCAGTTAAGACAAACGAAATTCGGCTCCTAAAAATGACTCACCCGAAACTGTTGATGCTATCAAATCGACCTCGGTAACCAAGAGTTGGATGGCAACATTCCTGCTCCACGGAATGCGTCGTCGTAACTCGCTTCAGTATGGCTTCCAAACTATGTATATAACCCTCAATCGGCTTAGGAATATCCTCTAGTCGTTTCTCGTTTAACAAAAGGTTGCAAATTGCTTGATGTACATCTTGTCCAAGGGCCTTCACGCCTTAAACGAGAGATTGTTGACCATTAAATGATAGAGATCAAACGAAGGAAACTACAGAGGCCCAAAGAAATAACTGGTAGATAGGCAAACGGGTCATTTAAGAAGTCTCATTTGAAAGATAGTGTGACCTGGGAAGTTGAGTTGATCGAAAATCCAAAACAAATAGGTGGCATTTTGGCTTCGACACTCATCGAGACCTTAAAAACGGGATAATCGCTCAAGAAAGATAAGTGAACCATGATACAGAAAATTTGCAGCAAATAACACTGGAAATTTGGCAATTAGTTCAGTGTTTACTGCTTTCATGAGTTTAAATGCAGAACGCACAGCAGAACGAAAACACTACCAATAAGGGTAAGCAGATGAGTTAGTTGGATCTACATCTAAGAATTTCGAATTTCTTCTTCCGGCAAGCATTCCGCAACTTACGAGACATGTATTCGTTAAAGCCGCGATCGCCCAGCTGTTTGCGCATTTTCTCCTGCCACTTTCGAAGGACTAATGCATTTTCAATTGGCATTGTTTTGTTGATTATAGTTGAAACAGTGGGAAATTTGCGCCGAGTAAAGTGATGAATCTCGGGACACTCTATGCTTGGACCGTCAAAAACAGAAATGAAGCGAACCAGCTGGCAATACGTTGGTCGGCTCAGTAGGAGCCACAAGGGCCTTTGCATGTCGAAATTCATTACCATATAGTTATCTCTAATGGAAAAAGGCACCAAATTATCCAATGTAATTTTAGACTGAGAAAAGCAGATTAATGTTGCTGGTTCTAAATGCCTTTAAGTGATTATGAGACTTAAGACATTAAGAACTAAAGAATATACGTAAAGAATCTAGGACATCTGAGTCCCATTTTAGAATCAAAAAACGGAGGGAAATTCGGGAAGAAAACGCCTACTCTATTATAAATTCTCATCAGAATACGTCAAAATTAATGAAGGATTTAGATATTACTTGCGCTTAAGAGCACCCGATACCCGAAGATGCATTTTGGAGTGTTTGCTTTATTTGGAAAGAGAAATCATAGTAACATTTTGATTCGACAAATCACGATATAAGTACCATCGCATGTTTGAAAATATACTGAAATGTGCACCAGATGAGGTAGGCTTCAAGAACCATTCTTTCAACCAATTACCTACAAGTATTTTTAGCAAGGCTATTTCAAGGTCAAAAGACGATTTAACAAATTGTTCTCTGGGCTCTTCTAATGACAAAGCTCTTGATTTATTACAATTTTATTATAGCAAGTATGAAATAATTTTTTCCACGCACGCCAACAAACGCTTTTTGGTAATTAGCGCAACTTTTAATACACACAACTCGATTTCTAAGATCAATTTGGATTCCAGCATCCTAACAATTTATTTGAATGGACTAACGTGGGTTTATTTTTAAGTTTTTTTTATTAAAAGCTTTAATTTGTTTAAAATAGCTGTAACGTTGGTCTAGAAACTGGTAATTGAGGTGATTTGTTGCAAATTAAATCCAAATAGCATTCCGCAGATCATATAGACGACCAAGAGAACTGTTTGGACCGGAATGTTTGTAGCCTTGCAAAATACAAAAAAATGTCAACTTGATTTTAATTTTTAGATGCATTTGGCTATTTCTGAATTAGGAAGACTACGAAAGCGACAAATGTTAACAACTCATCGCCTATTCTGATTGTGGGAGACGTCCTTCCATTCGAATGGTACAATATAGCAGATACAACGTAAACCTAGATACGAACATTGGAAATAACCAATTTTCGTTGTAAGTTATTAATAAAGCGCAATTATAGCAAAACTTTATCCAGATGTTCATTTGTTACTCTTAATAATTGTAATAATTAAAAAGAAATATATTTCTTTCCAAATAGTTTCACAAAGCCCCAAATCCACAATTTTTCGTGCTTTTGCAGTTTTTTAGCAAATATTATAGAGCTATTAATTTTGCGTATTATGCTGTACGGGATTAGGTACTTTTTCATGATTTAGTTTTAGTGCTTATTTATTTAATATTTAAACAATATTTTAGGTTTTTGAAAAGGAATTAACTACAAGAAGTAATTATTTTGCCCAAGCTAGTTGTTGCAGTTGTCGTGGTAAATGCATTAGATAGGGTGTGTGTCCTCATGATTGATTTATCTAAAATTGGTTTCATGCATGCGTACAGTTATTAAAACTTTGTTAGCACAAAGTTATGTCGTCGTATTGGTGGTGAAAACGAAACCAGTTTGGCTGCTGGTTTACTCAAACGCGATGACCGACTTGAATGCTAATATAACAATTACAGATGAAAAATACATAAAAGTACCAACGTTTCGACACAAAACATTACTTATAAGAGAAGCATTATTTTTGTCAATTGTAAATGGTTGAACTCTAGGCATTAATGTATATGAAAGCGCAGTACAAATTACCTCGATTTTTTATAACCCAAGATCACTTATTTTAGGATCTAGTAATACGTGTTACTCAGAACGCGAAAATTAGGACTCTTCAGTCGAGTAATTTTAAATGCCACATTTGTCACTAGCTCACTTATCCTTTATTCAGCTAGTTATTTATTTAGTTATTAGTGTCCTGACAATTGGTCTAGGATATTTTTGCCTAATCAATTGCTGTAAATATACACGAGTTACATAGACCATTACATCATTACATGCACCATCCTCTTAAGATATGAGCTAATTGGGTTTATCCGGAAATTAAAGCCTGGACATGTCAATTAGTGAAATCAAAATTAGTTGTCTGTCGATAATTTTAATTTCCAAAACGCACCTAGTCTATTAACCGTCCACTGCCACCTGATATTTTTAGCAAAAAATTTCAGAGAAAATAATCGAGATGCGAATGATCAGGTGGGCACAGAGGGCACTCGATTGAATCACAACACCCTTTCCGTCTTGATTTGTTTAGTGGAACATGTGAGGGCAGTGTTTTCCTGCTTTGAGCATTGCGTAGCACCGTTAACAGTCAGTAGTCGGGCGATGCCAGTTTCTAGAGAAGCTCGACTTTTGGTAAACGCGGACTACTTGTGGACAGCTTTGGCAATCTGATTGCTTTCAAAAAACATTGGTATTTGTTCTCCTTGGAGATCTTGACAAGAACTTGCTTATTTGAAGTAGCAAATAAAACTGGAATCACACCTCTTGAAAATGTAAGAGCGATTCTGTTGAACCGAGATCATTAAGATTGTCGTGAATCCTGTTTATTTAGCCCCCTAATCCGGTCGCTCCACCTCCTACACAGAGTTCCACTTGTCACAGCATGTCGCCAGCCCCTCGAATCCTCAACTCCCCCTTCATTAGTACGAATATTTATCTCGGAGTGTCTCCATACATAGGTCTCGATGTTAGCGCATGTATGACTCACACATTCGAGGTATAAATACACACACGCAAACACCACACGCGACACAACGACACCAACGTGGTTGACCTCTGAAGTAAACGCTTGTGTCCGTCCTCTCCGGCCTTTTTCCTTTATCGAGGGTATTAGGCAAGCTTAATCGGGCCAGGGTTAACTCCGTGGCCCCGGCGTGGTTCAAGACCACATGCTGGGGCCCACAACAAGATGTACTCACGTAAATCTACATTGTCTAAATGCTACTTAGGTCATTTATGTATCCATCAATGCAACGATCTGCTTAGTAAATTGACGAAGGCATTAAGAGTCATGGCTACGGTCAGTGTGTTAATATGCAAGGAGAACTCTATAACTCAATAATTGGCTGCTCCAAGTTATGTGATGTTTATTTAGTAGACAAGATTATGGCAACGTAGAAAGGCATTTTAAACCTTTCAAGTTGACAGAAGAAATCAATTTCCTGGTGCTAATGCAGAAGGCAAAGGTAAATCGCATCAAATTGTTTTTTTTTGAATTCAAGATTTTCTTCTCAAAACTTTGATCTGGTGGTTTTTCCAAATTTACAACTTTTTTTATTAATGTGTTTGGAATAGATGCCGCGTCGAAATTGCCCTGTTACGTCTGCAAATTTTGCTTGATCTCATAAAAAATAATTGTTATTAAGTTTGCTTAGACGTAAAGTTTGTTCAAGGCACGATTGAAGACAGTTAAGGGAACCATTTTAATTCGATGCTACCCAGTCCTTGCTGGCAAACACCATATCTGTGTTGAATATTTTCAAGAGCACTCGCAAATGCACTTACCAAGCATGAGTTTAATCGATTACATTGAGTTTCCGTTACGCATAGACGTTTTTTAGACGTCGACGTCCTTTCTTATTCCAACGGACAACCAATCAGACTGAAAGATAGCTCGCTCTTGAGCCTCTGCCGACTTTGAGTACTTGGTGCAACGGCAATAATAAATCAGTCGCGCACGTGTGATTGTGACACTTACATCAGGACTGTTCAACAACCTCAGAAAATCCGCTTATAGCCAATCATTCAATGGAAGTGTTAATTTTGCGAATAGATTTGAGCGGCGTTTTAATGATCTTACTTTCTTTTGTTCTCTCTATAGCTTGCGCAACATTCGATATGTTAAAAAATGTTTAGCTTGACTCACTGAGCTTTCTTTCTGGACAATTAGGTGTTTAAATGGAATGAAGTACCAATATCGCCGTCAGTATATTTAAAGTGACAAGTTTTAATATGCGTCTAACTTGTGTTATTAATATAAAACACCTTAGTTTTCAAATCCCTTTAAAGTTACATGAAATAAATTTCTGGATGAAGAAATTAAATCTTGTCCAATAGGTCACTGAGACTTTTGAGCAAGATCGAATGCATTCGTGGTCAGTATGTCTCCGTATAGCCTGTCTTTACAGAATTAAACAATGTATTTATAGTGTAAATGTGATGACACCGTGAAGTTATAAAACTCTACGGCGGAAAATACAAGCTGTTTCATATCTTTCAACCAAATAGCATTAATATAACATTGGAATATGTTACAAAATTGTATTAACATAAAAGCACAGAACCTGAGGTAACTCTTTAAAAAATACCCCTGGGAAACATTATGCCCTTGGGATTGGACTAGTTATTGCCATGAAATTTGACGCGAAGCACAATTTATCGTGGATATTTTTCGTTCATTACACGACAATTGAATGGAGTACTTTACTCAAATGAATAAATTCTTTCATTCCATCACTCATTGTTGAAGGTAAAGCAAAGTGTACCAACGTGGAAATAACACGCACACATTTTATTTGTTAGAGGGCAACAAAGTTAGCAAATAAATCACCTCGGTTTCATTTGCGTACACCAATTATTAATGACATGTTTTATTATGGTGACCTTACATGACATTGTCCATAATTTAATCCTCTTTCAGTAATGAGGGTTACTGATGCATATAAGTTGGTACTTTTACGTTTGCCGTGTGTTGGAGGCATTACGAAATCACTTTTTACACGCCCTGTTGAATGATGTCTGTCAAGTGAACGCTTGATTGATTTGCAAATAATGGGTCGAAAAGTTGATTAAGCCAAAGATGAATGGAGGTGCTAAAAATTGGTTGTAGCGTTATCTACTCTGACCTTTCTCGCAATTGCTGGGCGACAAACTTTTATTAATACAAGTCGCAAATTTATAGGCCGACGAAATCAAAATTTAATAAAACAAGTCTTAATATTACGCGTATATTCAAGGACTATATAATTCCCAAAACAGCGACAATGCTAAATGAGGCTAATTTCATACCAAGCAATTTATTTTAAATATTTGGTTGATTCTGCGAAATTCACAAAATTCAAGAACTTCAAAAATTCAACAATTAAGCGTATAAGCAGATTAATAGAGGCTCTTTAAATTAGATTATTTAATAAAAATTTGTTCACCGTTAATCAGAATGTACATAGGGCATTTCTTATTTAGTACACAAAATAGCTTGGGGCCAAAAGATCTGGAATTTAGGTCTAAGGCAACACGTGGAAGAAAGGAAATTTGATCCAACTGGTCCACCTTCTCTTTTTCTCAGTTAAAACTTCATTGCAGCAACATAAAATATATAGCTTGCATTCTTAAAGATGGATGCGACAAACTATGGTCCATAAATACCCGGTGTGTGATAGCAGCTCCGATCAAATTACAAAAATCCTGTACTGAAATGCGAATATCTGATTAAAATCAAAAGCGGTACTGGAAGGAAACTGGTGTTAATGAATATTTACTTCTAATTGATTACATTTAATTCGATTGTGATTTTATTGAATTAGCGTAAGACCAGTAACCTGCGGTGCTGCTTATTTTACACCTACCACGTACCGTTTGCCTATGCAGGAGTAGACATCTTTATGAGAGTAGCGAGACCGCTATTGCACAAAACAATGGCTTGGTTCTCTTTCAGTTTAGTATGCTATTTGCCCCTCGACTATCATTCCAAATTGATGTGGGAAAAAATGCCTAACAATTATGACAGCTTTGTGTGATTATGAAAGGGAAGTCAGCGTTTCCCAAGACATTATTCTTGCCAAGTTGTGAACTTACATCTTTGTTTGATTCACACGAGTACCCCAGTTTCATTATCGTAGCAATAACACTAGTCATTGGCCGCAGCATTTCAAAGTTTACGCTGACAACTTTTCGTTCAGTTCATTGGGTCAAGGTCGACCAATCATTCTGGTGACAACCAAAGCATAACAACCTGTCAATATGCGTCTTGATCATCTTATATTGAGGCTGCGGTTCTGTAATTCAACCTTATTTGCCCGGGTCTGCTAAAACCCTACAAAAACCTTTATAATCCATAGAATGTCTAATGGGTCAGGGTATAGGAAAATGACATTCGTCCTAATTTTATTAACTGTATTTACAGCCAGCAGCACTCAGTTTCCATAAATATTTTTATAAACAACGTTTGTTAGATTGGCGGGTGTAGTCGATGTAAATTTGTCGGTACGGCCGTTACTGTTTACAAACTGGGTTGACATCACCATCAGGCTAGTATCACATAGAATAGATCCATCTACTTTGATAGAATCTGTATATTCTCTCATACAAAGAGGTTCAAATCAAATCTGTCAGAATTTAAGGCATATTCAGCCAGCAATGCATCCTAAAGGTTAATTATTGACTAATGTCGGTGGGCAGTGACACCGCCCAGAGCAAACAACTGTGGCCAAAAGCTGTTAGGATTACCTTCAAAATGTCTGGCTATACGTGAGCCTGATGGACAGATCTCACCTTGATGGTAGCATTTGCAGTAAAGTAGAGATGCAGACATGAGATGTTCGTGTACAGTAATTCCATTTTCGAACAAATTTTGCCACATAATTAGAAGTACGTTTTTCTTCATTGCATTGTTTTGCAATAAGCGTTGTGCGCGCAGGTATCAGCAATTTCTTGCTCTCAGTTTTTGCGACTATAATTAGCGCTTCAGCCGGAATACGGTCTGAAGCGTCGATGGGTGTGTGGCTTTAGTAAAGGTCAGTGAAACAACGTTGACAACGCGGCACCATCAATCATCCCTGGAAGTCCAACCTGTGTCAAGACAAAATTGACTTTGAGGTTGCTCACACCAGAAGCAGTATGTTGAGGTGGCCCATACAGAAAGCTTTGGCATTGAAAACGGATAAATTTAATACTACGGTTCAAAACAACATTTAACCTTAAATGTAGCGTCTTTTTTTAATTGAAACCTGCTGGCTGTAAAGTTGTTTAAGGATTGGGACTTATCGCAAAAGTTGCAATTTAGGGTAAACCAAAACTTTCGCCACATCCCTACTGGTAAATGTGGTGTAGTTAACTGCTTGGTTCATAGACCACATTTTGCAATCATTTTAATGAAATCTAATGTCGGATTATTTTTAGTCTTAAATCAATGGCAACATAAACTATAATAACAACGTTTTTTGAAAATTCACTTTTTTTCAAAATTCCGTTTATATCTTTGGTGAAAACGCCCTCAACACGAAGGTAGTTCTTGTAGATTTTACCAGTCATGGAATGCTCAAATCAAGAACCAGCTGCAAGTTTGATGGACTGTTACTAACACCACCGATCCGAGAAAAGTGGCAGCCTTGACATAAGGAAGTCTATTCCATATGGATTTGCGTAACAAATTAAGAAGGAGAATTCGATGATATTAAAAACACGCCCAAGACAACTGCCATGCATCATACCTCTAATTTGGCAAAATAGCCACAGCGGAATCATTCAAGAGGTCATCCAACCGAAAATCGGCCTTTATTCAGCTGGATTGCTACATGTGGTCTAAAAAATTCCTTTAAATGCAAGTCAAAAATTTAAACTTTAAATGACTTCTGAAGTCTGTTTAGGGCTTCTTTCCTCATCCTGTTCAACAATGCCAAATAACTTTTTTTAGAGATTGATAAGATGAGGGAATAGTGAAGCGAATGGATTAGTGTCATTGCTAAAATGTCACATTGAACTACTAAATGCAAAGTGCTTTCGTTTTCGCTACCTCATGCACAACCTCTTCTGTCCGAACTGATAAATGCCTTTGCCTACCTATCTAACGCAGCTGAAGTCTAAAATAAGCTTATTTTGATTCGTTAAACCTGCACCGACTTTTTTGTGTGCATGTGGACTTCGATAGGAAACGCTGGCGTTGTCGACTTTCGTCAGCTAATCGACCAATATGAAGGTTGAAAGGCTTTTTGATCATCACTGCCGTGGCTTCAAATGTATGCCTTCAACTTCAGACCTAGCAATACAATGCTATCTATGTGCATGTTAAGTGTGTGTGAGCAGATGACCTTCGTCTTATTGGTCATCAAGAAAATATGGGTAGCAGAAATTATATTCTTATTTTTTCGCAAATAATGAAGGCATGCTCATTCATTGCCATAGAAAACTAAATTCAGAGACAAGCTTAGCTTAAAGCTTCATTCTAAATATGCTCAGTCATCAAAAACAAGGTCGAACAGGCAGCCCGTGGAATATTTTGAAGAAAATTGACTTCGTTAAAGAGAGGCATTTGTGGAGCAGTGCAGAGATCAGTGAAGCTACATGAAAATGATTTTAAAACCTTTTGGTTCCCACTAAAATGCGAAAGGACAGAAGTTCATAATTAGAAGTCACTTTTTGATTTTACGTTTTCGGAAGAAAGGTTTCTATTTTTGGAGGCTCAGGCTTGTAATACCTTACTCACAACTACGCGACTGATTTTTAAGTCAGGTTGGTATTGCTTACATCTAGTCCCATCTGTTACGTGTCACCGATATCAAAATCTAAGCCGCATAAAAAGAAGAGAAACTGAAGCGCAACTGAAATTTTCAGTGCATTCTTCACTATGAATGTCCTTCCTTTAGAAATTACTAATGGTTACCTCTGTGTCATTCTATTCAGAAATAGAAGAGGGCGCTTGTGACATCAAAGCCTTCGACTTGCCGGCAGAAGAGGCAAAAAGTGGGTCCGGCCGCGGCGCTGTATATGTGGATTAGTCATTTCGGTAAGTTACTACAAGTATGCATCGTATGCGCGAGCGACAATTCCAAATTGATAGACACGCCAGTTAAACTAAGCGTTTTTGGCCTACCTTTTCTGAACTCAATGAAGAAGGCTTAATTGATAGCCTGAATCTCGAAAAGCATTACGACCTCTATCCACGACAAGTGCGTGTGCGCGCTGGCACAGGAGAGCTAAAACGAGGAACGCGATTCGTGGATTTTGCGTTTCGCGCAGGAAAAAGCGCTCCCTCAGCCAATCCTTCACAAGTTTACATTTCGAACATGTGTGCGTGGGAGTACGCGTGTATTGTGTGCGTCCCTGACCGACTGTCGCAGTCACACATAGCCCCGGAAAGGCGAATAGAGCGGTTAAGATAGAGGGGATACCACGCAGAAGGCGTGAACGCACATTCACATGCACGAACCCACAGGTGTGATGACCCACACATATCGTTTTCGGTGGCAGCATCGGTGGAGGAGGTGGACAAAGGCCGGCTTCAAAGGCACATCGACAAGCCGCGGGCTTCCGTTGCAAGGGCGGTGCCTCGTCGTTCATCATGCAGCGGCTGCTATGTTTTTCATTCTTTTTGCGGAAATATCAGTGATCGAGGCATCAAAAAGGAGTGAGGGAAGAAGTATGCCGGTCTACAGTTGGCTTTACGGCATGTGAGTTAGCTCACTGATTTTTGCCGCTCAGTGCAAAATCAAATCGCTTGTAGTAGAGTTAATTTTTACTAAAGTTTTATAGGTAGCTACAAAGAATGGGCTTACAAAGGCATTCTCAATTGCTATTAATCGATAAATGATCATCTAGGTTGATGGAATTGATATCAGATGTGACTGCCAAATGTGCTGATGTTGAATTATTCACATTGATTTACTGCTTCTACTATTATCAAGGTGAAAGTTAAAAGTTGAAACACATGACCTGTGGGCAGAGCCCTTGAATAAAAAAGACGGTACAGACCATCAACCTCTCAATACCTTGATTCTGCTTGCTTTTGCTGGGCTGTTTGCAATGTTCTACGCTAAGGCTTTTGTCATCTAAATTTCTCCTTTATATTTTCTCTGATGTTTTAACACAAGATTTATGTGAAATCGAATATTTTACAGTGACGCTACTTTCGAACACAGAAGAATGCTTTAATGAACTTTTCTGTGCTGGTAATTATTAATGGCAAAGTGACATGCGCTCCACTATTATATGGTAAAAGTAGGCAAATGTGAATGGCCAATTACCTGTCAAAGGTGTTCATGCATTCGTGGGGAGATTCAGCCTATTACATTTTTTTATTACTTTAGTCGCTAAAGCCATCTTGTGTAAATATTCACTCAAATTTTACTAGTATTTTGATTTGGTGATATGTATGTGTGCGTGTGTTTCCCGTTAAATTTGATAAATTGCTTTTTAGGCAGACCTGAGAGTTAAGCCCTTTGATAATAAACGCAGTACCGAAATTCCCCAAAGTAATCACACTCATCATGGATAGATTTTGCGATAATCTATGATAACGTTTTCCATCATTTCCGCTTTCTACATTTTTCGCAGAATTCTCCGAGACTTATATTACTGTAGATTCCTGCTAGTTTTAGTGAACAGATTCTTTGGATCTGTCCGCTACAGTCTTCAGGAGGGTTTCACGTCCAAGTCCTTAAATTGATGGATATAATACCATCTTTTTATAGTTGTATTTCAATCAGCTAAGGCTACTTGCTACAACGTTAAGGGTATAGGACATTTAATGGCAAGAACTCACCGCTTAAATACAAACGGTCTCCCTCCATTGTGGTTTTTGCGTTATTGCGTATTGATGATGTGACTGTCGCTCGTGGGCACCCCCTTCATTCCCGATGAATAAAGGCAGATTATAAACCTGAAGAAGGGAATGCACTTAGGCCCAAAGGACTCCCATGATTGATGGCAACGCTGCAAGGTTTTTGAAAGTTCGCACACATATTCATTCTATATTAAGCAGTAGGTGACCTCTCTCTACTCCTAGCGACGAGATTATATGGTGCCAGTATACGTAAGAACATTGTTTCTACCATGAATGCAGAACTAGGTCGACTGATTTGTCATTGGCAAATAATAGAGTGACAATGCCTGGTACTTAGACATGGGCATTAAATTAAGCTTATCCCATCGGTTGAAATAATCTAATTACTCCCAATTAAAAATGAATAAAACTTTTCTACTCGATTAAATTCAGTGAAGTATGTAAAAAAGAGAATAAATTGTGGGGCATTCGACAGTGGCGGGATGCGTTTATCAAAGCTGTGTCCTGCTTTTGAAACACAAAATTAACTTTTTTGTGTCATTTTCAAGATTGTATTGCATAGGCGCAGGACATTTGTGAAAGCATTAGAACCTTTGATTCACACCTCGAATCGAACAAATGTTTTCATGGCGTTTTTTAAGTTAAAATCATTCCAAGAATAACACTGCCTTCAGGTACCATTAATTTATTTACCCGATAGTCTTTCATTATATCAAAAGGTCCACTTGACCCGTTTTTCAAAGTAAAGTTTTGAGGTAGAAATGCTACAAACATTTCTTCCTTTAAGGCTAGACACAATTTTGAATGACTATTCTAAATTTTGGAGTTAAAGTAAACATGTTGTTTACAGAACTTTTTCTAATCCCACTGAACTTAGATCAGTATGGTTCAGTATCGTGTGAATATTTTGCCGTAATGTACTCCTTTATTTGGATCATAATTTTTTATTTTTGCACGGACTACATGTGTGTTTTACTTTTGCATCTTGAAACCCGTTTTCTTTATAACACCCTCACATATTTCACATAATTTATATGAGAGACATAAATACAAAACCGCTATGACCTTTAAGAAACACTGGTTTTAATATTAATGAACGTTTGCCGAATATGGGGTTGAGATACTACTAATATCTTATCTATTATTGAAAGTTTATTAAATCGGAAAATAAACAAAATTCACTACCACAGTAGATTTGAATAAATAAGCACTTAAGCTCGTTTAAAGATAATTTAAATAAAAAACAAACGTTGATATGGACTTTTTAACCTCTCTGCCTTGGTATGGTTAATTTCCGGATGGATCTGATCAGTAGCATATATATATCTATGGCATTAAGAATAAATCAGTAACATAATTTGTTATATTTTGGCAGCAAAATCCGTATCACGCAAATGCATTTGTGAAACCCGGTTAAAGTCAATGGTAAGATATTAAAAAACTTTGGACCTTTATTGGTATACAGCAAATTATTTTGTATGAACTCACTTTCACTGCATTTAAAAAGTGCCCGGGGACTCATCGCTATTATGTCTAGCAATGTTTTATTCCATCAAATCACAGGAAACAAAATTCCATTAACATTCTTTCAGTAAATGCTTTCTAAATTATTGCACAAACTGGTCCTGTTGCAAGTCTTCATTTTTTTCGTAGCGTTCCTAAGTACTTTGATAGTTAGGGTTCAAAATTTGTTTTAAAATTTTAGTTGTGACCCGTGTGGTCACTTAAAGACAATTGACGCTAATAAACTATTTCTAAAATGAGGAAAAAAATTCTTGTGAATAGTAAATTTACCTACTTAATTCTGTTAACGAAACTAAATGGTGGCTGTTAACATTTGCTGAGTTTGCGAATGCTAAAACGTGGTTCATGGATTATGAAGTTGATGCAAGAAATTCAAATTAATGTCGTGTGCTCTTGTCGGGGAGTTGCTAAAGTATAATGGGCCTAAACCATTTGTAATTACTTCAGATCTGCAACTTAACTAGCTATTCGGAGGTTTGCTTTCTACCAGGATGCCATTTAACAGCTACTTGTAATTTGTTCCTGCTCTAATAAGCCATGAACCAAAACTGCTGAGAATACTCAAACAATGTGATCATTGCCTTCGGCAATATAACCTCGCTGAGATACCTAAAACCCGAATCCACTGTAAGATAACTACCTTAATGTCTCCGGGTACATTTTTGGGCTTTAACTTGGTCTTTTGTTGATATGGCAGTAGAAGATTTCCTGTGCACTAATCACAAGGTATTTTATGATGTAGTACTGTGAAAGTTAAGTAGATTTTTAAATTCCGGACACAAATGTTTGCGTGTGTATTCAGTCAAGAGCTACTCCCTTCACATCACATATTGCAAAACTTTGTCGTAATTTTGAAAGTACACACTCTCTTGATTCACCATCAGGTTTCTGTTACAACATTTTGACAAATCCGGTTAACCAGATAATTTTATTATGCATTACATTCTGTGTGTCGTAAGTAGTTGCTGTCTAGTCGGATTTCTTAAATTGCCAAATATAAATATGATTTGGAAGTAATAAAAGATCATTTTAAGGTATATACTTCTTCCTCGTTGCCTATGGCTCTTTAGTGTCTATTTACAGGCCATTTTACATTTGAGTGGATTACAGTGACAGATTCATACCGGGAAGTGCTATATTCCGACACCTTTTTTCTCGGAGTAAAAATTGAAGAAGATCTTAAACTAAATATATTTTCGTTTCAAAAATGGTGATGCTCTAGTTTCTCACTTTTATTATAGCTTTCTGTACAAAGTATGTTTACCAATTTTGGCAACTTTGAATTGCTGTCCTGCAATATTAGCACTAGTAATTTACAGGAAATATAATTGTACAAAACAAACCCACAAAACCTTTGAGAAATTTGTAGTGAATTCTGAACATTAACTTGTTTTGGTTTCAAGAGCCCAGCAAGAGTAGCTAAATGGGTGAACACGAGATATGCGTTTTGGGTCATTAAGTTAGAATATTTGGGGATAAATGAACAAATGTCTTCCTGCAATAATTGCACAGTATGAACATAGTAACGTCTTATCCACGCCAGACATTCAATCACTGTCGTTGTAAAAAGCGATGCATCCCCAAAGTCAATGATATAAATCCGCTTTTGTGGAGATGAAAGTGGATTTATCACCGAGTATTGCGTAGACCAACCCTAGGAGGTTTGCAGATTTGAATTATGTTTACTTAGTGATTAGGTTAGTAAGGGTGTAAAGGTTTTTTTGTCTTATCGTATGTTCATACTTATTTTACTTCGCTAGAGGATTTCGCATAAATTGATTCTCATTTGACCATACTAATAAGAATAAGTTTTACGAGAATCATGGGGAAAATTATATTACAGTAGATCAACGTTTATAGTTACCTTAAGATGTGGTTCGATCTATTTTTTGACACCAAAAGTATGAAAAAATCCTCACGTCTGCAGTGTAAGACTTTTAGTCAATTGCAAAAAGCGATTTCGTAATTCTTGCCAAAACGCAGACTTTTTGACAACAAACTTCTCCCATGATTGATGACCAAATTCATTTTTTAGCCGAAGTGGAAAAAGAATAACTCATTCGTGGTTTCATATTTCGTCTTCCGTTAAATGATTTTTATTTTGTGTACAAAATCACCAAATAAAAAAAAGGCAAATGCATCGACACCTTTGAAAGAGTGTACATTGAATCTAAAGCACCTACACACGGATCTCCCTTATAGAGTGTATATCAGTACCACAAAATTAAAACGGTCCTAGCAACTGCTAACTATT